GCCCCGGCCCGGCCCCAGCCCCGCCTGCCGGCCGCTCCGCAGCAGCCCGCGGAGAAGGCGAGCCCGGCGCGGGAAGGGATGCCGGCTCTCCTCTCCCTGCCAGGGCCGGGCACCCCGCCGTCTCCATCCCCCCACCAACCCCGCTGGCCTCCGCCGCCCCTCCCCTCCCCATCGGGCCTCGGGGGACCCTCCCTAGGCTCCCCGCGCCGCCCTCTCAGCCAGATGCTACCTCCCCTGCCTCGGTGGGAAGTCACAGCCCCTCATCCGAGCCCTACCTGGTCCACCCCGCCGCTCCTAACCTCGGCCCCTCCGCCCCTCCTAACCTCGACCCCGCTCCCGCCCTCGACCCCGCTACTGCCCTCGGCCCCGCTCCCGCCCTCGGCCCCGTCGCCCCTGCCCTCGACCCCGCTACTGCCATCGGCCCCGCTCCTACCGTCGGCCACTCCTGCCCTCGCAGTCTCCTCAGTCCGCCGCTACCTCCCCTGCCTCTGCCGGGAGTCTCAGCCCCTCACCTGTGCCCTACTTGGTCCGCGGCGCCGCTCCCCGGGCAGGCTCCTCAGTCCACCGCTGCTGCGGCGCTCCGCGCTCCTGTCCCCACTCCGTGGATCTGAAAAGGGTCTGGAGCGCCCCCTAATGCCCCGACAACTGACCGACAACACCAACATCCGGGCTCCCGCCTCCCGCAGAGCGGAGGGGCTGAGGGAGGAGTGCGGACGCCGGAGTAGGCGGAGCTCTGAGGGAGGAGCTCGGACGCCAGAGAGGGCGGGACTGAGGGAGGAGAGCCGACTGCAGATTAGGAGGGGCTGAGGGAGGAGAGCCGACCTCAGAGTGGGCGGGGCTCTGAGGGAGGAGAGCCGACCAGAGTGGGCGGGGCTGAGGGAGGAGAGCCGACGCCAGAGTGGGCGGGGCTGAGGGAGGAGTGCCGACCTCAGAGTGGGAGGGGCTGAGGGAGGAGTGCCGACCCGAGTGGGCGGGGCCGGGCGGTGTGAGAGTATGAGATGGTGACAGTTGTGCCTCCATCACAGGCTCCTCATGAGAGTGACATGAGGTTGTCCAGCTAAGTGCCCAAGCGACGGAAAGCTGACCATCGCTGTGGCCTCAGTCCTCGCGGTCAGGCCACGTGCCGTTGGCTGACAGGGAGTTAAGTCTCAGCGTCTGTGAGACGCGTGTCAATGGCAGGAGCGGATTCCTGCTTAAAACTCACAATGAAGAGAGGCGGCGGGGGACGCAGGCCAGCATGGGAACCCAGGCAGCCTCGGTGTCCCCTCCCTCACACCCTTTCTTATCTTATTCCTGCTTTTCTTTCCCGTTTGCGTCTTCGAGAACTGCACTCACTTCCTCCATGAGCGCAGGACACGGAAGGGCCCTAGGGAGCCCGCGGTCCCTCCGCGTCCCACCGCCCCGTCCGCGTGCCCACCGACTTCACTTTCCACACACGTGCTGCTGGTTTAAAGACATACGACAGCCACTGTGTGATGACGACTTGATAAATGAGTTAGGGTGAACACCAGAAATAATGTTTTGATTCAAAAAACCTCTAATCAATAAGGCTGATGAAAGTTTTCGGAAAAGTCAGGTTCCAGGGCCAGCCCGTGGCTCACTTGGGAGACTGTGGTGCTGATAACACCAAGGCCACAGGTTCAGATCCCTATATAGGGATGGCCGGTTAGCTCACTGGGTGAGCGCTGGTGCTGATAACACCACGTCAGGGGTTAAGATCCCCTTACCGGCCATCTTAAAAAAAAAAAAAAGAAAAGAAAAGTCAGGTTCCCCCAAGTATTGATTTCCTTGTATGTAAACACAAACTTTTATAAAAGTTACCTCCACGTGTTCAAGCCCATTTCCTAGGGATATGGAGTGGAGCACAAAACACACATGCACACATGCATACGTAGCACACACATGTAACCTGCATGCACACATGCACATGCATGATTACACATGCCACACGCACATCTGCACGTACACATGCACACCTGCATGAACATGTGCATACACACGTGATTGCACACACCATACAATGCACATGTGCATGCACACATGATTACACAACCACACATACACACACATGATTGCACACACCACACATTGCATACCCTCGTGCACATTTACACACTTATGATTGCACATGCCATGCACATCTGCATGTACACATGTGGAATATACTATAAAGCATATGTATTTCACAGGGCCTGGTTTTCCAAAGCCTTGCTGTTTCAAATATTGACCCTTGCGGAGGACTGGAAATTTTCCTCAGGCTATAAGTCTCTGGTGTAAGATAAAGATTTGTGGCACAGCAAGGTTGCGGGCTCAAGGACAGACTAGTTACTGATTGTTATGTAAAGGTACTGAGAAATTGATGTAAGAAGGAATGTTTGCTAAGATCAAGCTTTTGTTAATTGCCTTACTGGAAAGTCATCTGGCTTGTTTCACTGAAAGTTACCAGCCTATATTGTTAAACTATAACCCCACCTATGTCTCTTCCTGTAACTTCCTGGTCTAGAAAATAAATGCAGGAAGAGGACCCCAATTCAGGGTTAATTTTCCCAAGGAAGTGATTCCTCTCGCTGGAGGATCCCAGGAAGACTAACCACTTCTGGGTCTCTCACTGCTCAGAAGAGATGGGCTTTGAGTAATCCTTTGCATCTCCATCACCCAGGGAAAGTGGGGTGACAAATCCACGGTGGATGAAGCAACACAAATCAACACACACATGCATGCACGATTGTACATGCACATGTGTGCAGATGCATGCACACACATGCACAGGATGCACTTTCTTTGGTACTTGCAAGTAGCTAGGAAGATCTAAAACATACTGAAGGGTATATGTGTTCATTTGTACCAGAGGTCACCTAAGACATGAAAACTTTACACCCAGTATCAGCAAGGAACCGAAAGATCAGTAGGTGTCTGTGTGAATGAAAGGACTTTATTAAATCCTCTGTCCATCATCTGTCCACTGCCAAAGAAACTGAAGACGCAGCACAGCAGGATGTTTCCTAACACCGTGTGCCAATTGCACCCACCTGCTGCCTCCAGCCCACCCATGTCTGCAGGCTTTCTGTTCACTTACCGACTTGGCTGACCTCCTTAATTCTCAGATCTGTCCAGCCTGCCCAAATAGGCTCTGGAGCTCTCAGTGGCATCTGATGTGTCAGCACCATGGCCTCCTAAGGGGTAGAGGCCCCAGTCCATGCATCTGGCACAGGCTGGCAATGGGTGAATTTGAGGCAACATCCATGGGATGGAGAATGAGAAAGCAATAATGCCACCGTCCAGTCCTGTACTATCCCAGGGAGGGGTCTTTACCTCAGGGGGGGCTGCAGGCTCACCTAGAGATGGAGGAAGTCTTTGCTGGTGTGTGCAGAGTGGCAGGCAGGGCTCCAGGGCCTGCTTGTTGTGTGGGCAGGAATGTTGGCACTGGGGACAGGGGTAGTTGCAGGGCAGGGCCTGGGTGGCATGGCCCCAGGCCCCTGCCCTGTGGACCTCCTGTGGGTCATCCACTTCCAGCAGGGTCAGTGGCTCAGCAGCACCTGCAGGGGCTTCCACATGCCAAGATGGCACAGGGCCAGGGAGCAGGTGTGGGGGACTGGGGTCGTGAGGCCTTCCTCCTGCCTGTGGCCTCTGCCCCTTGCCGAGTCTCTTTTTCCATCGCTGGATGTGGATAGGAAGCATAGGAAGGATGTGGATCTGTGATTCCCTCATGCAACCCCAGCTCATGAAGGCCCTGGATCTGTCCTGTCTTCAAGGGATCCCATCTCTAATGTGGGGGAGCCCTGAATGTTCTAGGCTCTCAGGAAACATCTATTGAGGATAAGCCAATGAGGAAAAGCTCACTGAGCACCTGGGGTAGGTGGCCAGGAGGCTGTGGAGACTAACGGTCCTGCTGCTGTAGAGAGTCCTGGGTCGGAGAACTCACAGACAGCATCAAAACAGTGCAGCAGGAAGAAAGCCTGCCTTTCCCACTGAGCTGCAGCCCTGCTCCTGGAGCTGGAGGATGGCGGATGCGGGTCCCAGGGTCCCTGGCTGCACTTGTGACCACAAGGACCTGGTGCCATCATGGCCCCAGCCCACTCTGAAGAGCCACTGGGGGCCAAATACGGGGTGTACTGGGGAGTGGAGCTCTAGCTCTACAGGTCTCCCATGAGCTCAGACCACCCTGTAATCACAGTTGGCCACAGTCCTGTCTTGACGGATTGGAAAACGGACTCACAACAAAGTGAAGAGCAACCTGACTGCCCAGGGAAGGCCGGAGAGGCCTGATCGACAGGGTAAGCACAGAGGAGGGGAGAAGATAAAATAAAAAGACTTACCCATGAAAAGAGGAATTTGCAAACGCTGTATGGGAACTTACAAAACCTAAAATGACCAGAAAGTCAGACCAAGATCCATGAAACTGATATAAATGCCCCTGAACAGCTCTGCCTGCCTTGCTGGGGTGTCCCTTTATGGGAACTTACAAAACCTAAAATGACCAGAAAGTCAGACCAAGATCCATGAAACTGATATGAATGCCCCTGAACAGCTCTGCCTGCCTTGCTGGGGTGTCCCTTAGACCTAGCCACTCAACATGAACACCCTGCATTTGCTTACATGTTCCTAACTCAGGTTTCATAACAAAGAAAATCCCCCAGAGCTGTCAGGCATATTGTGACTCATGCATAAGCCAGTCCAGCTCCACTACTGTCTTTGCCTTTAATCAGTTCAGTGTTTACGACCAATGAGCACTGATGACAAAGCAGACAGAATCCATGTCAGAAGTCTCTGCATTTGTCGGAGCTGAAGTGGTGACTTGGTGGCCTCGACCTGACCTCTTCCCTGCTCCATGTTCTACCCCAGAACTGGTGCCCGGGTAGCAGGTGGGAAGACCCCTGACCCCTGACACTAACCCCAACTTTTACCCTGGCCCTGACCCTAGCCTGGCCCTAGCCCTGGCCCTGGCCCTAGCCCTAGCCCCAGCCCTAGTCCTGGCCCTAACCCTACCCCAAACCCGAACCCAAATCTTGTCTAACCTGAACCAGAAGCCTAGATCTAGCCTTAGCCCTAATCGTAACCCAAACCCAAACCCTAGATATAATACTCTTTTAAATTTGCGTGAACTTTTATATTACATTGTTTAAAGTAACCCATATTGCACCATTAACGTCATTGAGTATATTATTGTAGAAAATGCATTAACTGATGGCCTATGACCTACTGAGATATGTCACCTTTTTAATAAACTTCTAACATCCCCAGAGTATTATGGACACTGAATGAATAAGAAAATGTGAACTTGGAAAAGTGAAAAAAGCCAACCACTGTCCCACAGTCAATAATATTTTGACTCTTTGCTTCAATGTTTCTCTTATAGAAGGAGAAAACACAAAGAAATAGTTTGATGGTTAGCCATTGTTAAGAAATTTTAAATTGTCAGTCTCAACCTTCACCGAACTTGAAAAATGTACTATTTTTAGTTTCATTTCCTATGTCAATCAAACTGGTTTAACCAGTTTTTCCCCTATTCAGAATCCGGGTAGGCCTGAATCAAAAGCTTTGTTGCTGACACGTGTAAGAGTGCCTGAATTACCCGTGCAAATGCTCATTCATCGTGAAGTATGAATGACGCCTGAGAAGACAAAACAAGACAAATCAGGCAGCACTAAAAGTAAATTCAAAGTAACTGAGAAATATGGTCAGCATTGTACAGGAAAAATAGGGTAAAATGTTAAATACAATGGGAGATAAAGCTGCAGTATTTTAAGGAGATACAAGAATAAAAAGCCAATGAAAGCAAACATACCAAAGTGTAGCAAGTCTGACCA